ATAATAACAAAGCCAACCGCCCAGATATTGTTATTAAAGACCACAAACAAAAACAATTGCCTCCTTATTGATATGGCAGTCCCTGCTGACTGCAATGTATCTTTGAAGATATACAAAAAGCTGTCAAAATACAAGGACCTTGAAATCTAAATTCAAAAAATGTGGCATATGGGAACATCAACAATCCCTGTTGTAGTTGGAGCCCTATTTACTGGTTGGAAAAGATTCCAGTAGACTAATTTCAAGGGATTCCAGGAAGTCCATGCTTCAAATCTTTTACAAAAATTGCTCTGACAAGTAAAACCCACACTTTACGAAGGGATTTATCTTTTGTAATTTTTTTTTTTTTTTTTGTCAGTGGAAAATGCCATGGTGCCATTTTCTTTGCTTAGGTCCCATCCTTGGACCCGGAAAGAAATGTAAAACGCCAGAAATCAAAGAAAATAATAAATAATAATAATAATAATAATAATAATATAATAATAATAAAAGATCAGTCAGTTACGTGCCATGCGTGATACACACTTAGGTGATCATGTATCTTTCGATACATGATTGACGAGGCATATATTTTTCCAGCAGTAGGTTGCCATTGCTTTCTACGGCCGACCAGTTGCCATTCAAGGCTATAGAACCCGGTCTTGTCTGCTATTTTACTCATAGCTGGGAGGAGAAAAAGAGCATTCATACCTTTCCCAAGAGCATTAGCACGTCAATGAATGTAATGGAGGTTAATAAAAGACTATTTTAAGAAAAAGGATCAGGACAAACGTCTACTGAAATGTAATTTTTACGGTTTTACACTTAATCTCCGTATATGTTCAGTAAACTAAAACAGTCTTTCGCCATGTCTTCCTTTTAAGGACTTGTTATCAATGCAACGGGAGATGAAGTTTTTTCTTTTAAAAGTTTTTTTACACGGTGTTCTACTTGCTCATGAGGCCTCGGAAGTCTTGAAGAGGAAACTTGCGCCAACGCGGCCATAGTCCTCACACACACACACACACACACACACACACACACACAAACATATAATATATATATATATATATATATATATATATATATATATATATATATATATATTTGTTTTTTTGATAATTAACAGGGATAATTCAAAGATTGATATAAATCCAAAGAGAACTCAATGTAAGAACAGAGCAAATATAATGATGATGAGAGTGGAGTCCTCAGAAATCCATTGGAAATAATTTATTTCACGGGATCAAACGCCTATCTCTCCAGACCAAACATTTTACAACAATAAATGTATTTTAAATTTATCCAGATACAAGCAAAAATTAAAAAAAAAAAACAGAAAAAAAGAAGAAGGAAGGGAAAAAAGAAGAAAAAAAAAAGTAAAAAGGAAAAAGAAAAAGGAGAAGAAGATAGAGAAGTTATATTTTAGCCGCATGCTTTCATTGAATAATTTTGACAAGTTTTGTCTATTTACTTTCAGTTGCAACCTTTCATATCACGGAAAAGATTTTGGCGTGATTATTCAATGGTGATAATGAAAATGATTTGAAAATGATGAACACTACAATATTTTGTCTTGAAATAAACAACAACTTGATGATGACATTGTGCTATGTCGAAAGTACTCGGAATAAATTAATATGTATCAACACGGCAATTTTCTCTCTTACTTTAATAATGACACCAAAAAGCTTGTTCGAGAATATGAAAGGATTCAATTGAAAATTAGTAGAAAAAACTTGCCTAAAGCATTCAATGAAACATGTCTCAATAAGGGATGATCATATAAACAGTGACTGCTGCTGCTAATGCATTGCTCTTCAACTACAAGCCAGCTCTCCTAGCCACTAACGTCTTTCGTATAGTAGAAACATTAAAATGTCCCTTACTCTTGGCAGTGTGACGATAGCTTGGGAGTAGAATCTCTGTCTGATGCCAAATCGATCAGGCTTCGATCCCGGCTTGAAGCAATCGGATGTCTAGCATCTCTACGCATCCGAAGAAATAAAATTCGGTCAAGCACTTTAAAGGGAAATGCGTGGTTTTTTTTTAATAATTTCTTTTTAATTCTCCGCCTTTCAAACTTAAGAATTTGAGTGAAATTAATTATTAAGAGTTAATACTAATATTTTAGGCAACAAAAATTAAATAAAGTTTTAATACATAATTTTGAATCACCACACAAGAATGCGAACTCTATAACGGTCACAATATATTCCGTACCTGAAGATTGCGAGAACTGCATGAAACTCCGAGTCGTGCTATCGACGTTGGATATTGTGTATATTCATTTAAGGGTTTACTGATACAAGTCCAACTAATTACCATATAGTCGTAGGGAGAAGAAGGAGATTCACAGCTTTTCGAGGGATATTTGAGCGTAAGCGTGTATAACAAACCAAACAGAAATTGAAAGTAGGCTCGCCAATTTACACTTCCAATCTATGGCTTATTACACCAACCGCACATCTAACCTGGTAGTCTCAAGCTGCTATTTACAAACGCATATCCACCTTGTATTCCCAAGCGATTATCCGTCTAGGTACTGACCAGCCTCGACTTTTAGTAGTTGGGGAATCACACTCATGTGTCTGTTCCATAAACAGCGGATCTTGGAAAGAAATTGTGAGAATGAAATTTCCTTCGAATATGAATACAATGAGCATGGTTCGCCTCTGTTCACCTGGTATACGGTGTTCTAGCTATAAAAGTCAAAACTAGTTCCACTAGAGGATGTAGCTCGTCATATATATATATATATATATATATATATGTATATGTGTGTGTGTGTGTGTGTGTGTGTGTGTGTGTGTGTGTGTAAAAATAAAAATATGGATATAGATCCGACAGTATGAAGAAAAATATATACGGAAAAAACGAACAAAAATTCTTATATACAATTATGCTGTTTTAATGTTAATATATCAACGTCGGACGTTTCGGTCTAATAAACCATCTTCAGGACATATTCATAAAATATAATTAACATTAAAATTTTTAACATGAAAAAATTATGTTAACATTAAAACAGCATAGTTGTATATAAGGTTTTTTGTTTTTTTTTCCATATATATTTTCATATATATATATATATATATATATATATATATATATATATATATATATATTATTAGCATTATTGTAATGTTCTAATTTATTATTTGTAAACTTACGACACTACTATATTAATTTTGTATATATATATATATATATATATATATATATATATATATATATATATATATTTACAGAAAAACAGACCTCTTTAAGGTTCCATTATAATAATTTATTTCACCAGAGCCCTTTTAAAGGACGTCGGATCATCAGATAGCACTTCCAAAAATGAAACGAAAATGAAAATTGATGTGTAGTTTTAAGTTTTGTAATTTAAATAAATATATATATATATATATATATATATATATATATATATATATATATATATATATATATATATATATATAGCATTATTGTAATTTTCTATTTATTATTTGTATTATGTATTATTTGTACTCCTATAACCCTACAGGTCACGGGATATATATATATATCTTACTTATTATAAAACGCAGATTGTGTGTGTGTGTGTGTGTGTGTGTGTGTGTGTCTGTAACGTTTATATATTGGATGGGATTTCCTACATTTTTTAGCCGATTTCAACAAAACTTCACAGGACTACATAAAATTACCTTTTGGTGGTTATAACGGCGCCGAAAATGGGAAAAACACAATTGTTATTTTAACAAAATCAATTTGAAAACACGATTAAGACACATCGTGAAAATGAAAGGGGGACAACTCAGATCGGGTTAAAAAAAAATTTATTTGTTTGTATGGGTGTGTTTCCTTTTTTTCAGGTAGTTTTTTTTGGCAATTTCTTATTTCTTGCACACTTTTTCTTTTATTTTTACATTCAGAATGCTTTAAAATTCCATTTACCAGACAATTGTTTATAATAAAATTCTAATTCTATTCAATCGTTGGACTCATTATAAAGATTGAAAACAATGATTTGTTTAAGTTTGGATTTGACCAATTCGTAAAAAAAAAAAAAAACTAAGACATGCGTGTCCGTCAACCTTAAACAATAATCTAACGATCTCTACTGATTGTACGAATCGAAAATCGGATAATTCTTTATCTTTAGGGAAAGATAATTCCAACTTCAGGGCCGTTTTACAATTCCCTTTGCAATTTGTTACAAAGGCAGATCAATAAAACATTGGTTCTATTTTGAAATTAATTCAATATTTAAAAAAAAGTTTAAGAAATAATTTAAAAATGCCGACGTAAAAATCTGATATTGTAAAAAATTAACAATATTTCAGAAGATGATAATTATTAAGGAAAGAACACAGTACTTAGATCAAATTAATAAACCCAAATAAAGTTAATATTTTTTGTATTAGAAACAACGAGTGGAAAATATATTCAAATCAGAATTCTAATTATGAATCACCACAAGCAAAATATGCAATATTTTTACTGTATTCAATAAGTAAAAATCATAAATTGTAAAACTAAAAGATTACAGAATGTCTACCTACATTTTTCAACCGATTTCAACAAAACTTCACTTTTTTTTCGGCAGGTAGTGTTCCTTATTGTCTTGCACACTTTTTTCTTTATTTTTACATTCAAAATGCTTTAAAAATTCCATTTACAAGACAATTGTTTATAATAAAATTCTATTCATCAATTGATAGACTCATAACGATTGAAAACAATGTTTTTGTTTGAGTTTGGGTTTGACCAATTCGTAAAAAAAAAAATAAATAAATAAATAAACCAATTAAGACATGCGTGTCCGTCAACCTTAAACAATAATCTTTGTCAATTTTATTTTTTTTTTATTTTTCAGTCTTTATGATAGTGGATACTTGATCTATCTCTTACTGTTACATCCCCAAAAACGCCAGGCTCTACTGCTAGTGTATATATATATATATATATATATATATATATATATATATATATATATATATATATATATATATATATATATATATATAGTCAGTATCCTAAAGGATAAGAAAGCGGATTAACGTTGCAATTTTCGGTGAAAGAAATTGAGATGTTATCTGAGCCCACTCGCGGGAGTCGGCGAATACCCGAGTGAGCGGCTGAGGATTACGAAATATGCCGAGCCCTTACGAGGGTGGTCGTTGACATTCGTATTTCACAGGGTTAAAAAAAAAAGCAATGGCATCTTTCTTCCAACGAGACAACAGGGAGAGAGAGAGAGAGAGAGAGAGAGAGAGAGAGAGAGAGAGAGAGAGAAAATCAACAAATGCCTGTCAAAAGGATTGAATATCCCTATATTTATTTTCTACTTGTAATGGACTCCTTATTTTCTTAACAAAATTGCACGCTGCATTATTCTCTGTAATGTTTCTTCTTATTCCAAGTCGTTTGTGGGTTCCAATTGATCGCAATGCAAGACTAATTACGAGTGTCAAAAATTACCCGCACTTTCGACATATCATATTTTTAGGTTTGTCACGCTACCTTCAGCGCATGCTTATTTACATTTGGAACTATTTTGGTCACGTGATCGATGTTTGAGTTTGATCGCGCCAGTTGTGTTATTGTTACAGTGCAAACATGGCCGCTCCGCTAGCAGTGTGCACCAAGGAGAAACAAAGAGCAGCATCTGCTATCCTCACTCCGTCACCCATCTAGGTGCTGACCAGCCACGGCGTTGCTAAGCTTCGATGATGTTACGGGAACCGGTTTTTCAACGTAAGCGACTGAAAGTGTTAACGCGATTTATATATAATCTTGGCTCACACGAGATACGTGTCCTTATATATTATACGGCTGATGAGTACAGTGTAACGGTTATCAGCGCGGAAAAATGAAATCAGCAACCCAAGTTCAAATCCCGTTCAATGCAGTTTTCTTCATTTCGTTGTAATGCACTTGGAAAAGGCATGAATATATCTTGACCTAGTAATGGGTTAAATAGCAGAGTATATTGGGATCTTTTGTTTTGTTATCCACTAAAAATAACGCTTGAAGTAATAAAAATATATCGGATGAAAAAATAGAATCAAGTAATTTATTAAAATAGAATTTTTAAAAACTAGAATCAACTAGCAGCATGGACGGTGTTGCCCGTGCTTGATTCAAAATCGTACGACTCATACAGCAATTGCTATGACTTGACATAAAATATTTTGGCCCTTCCTTGCCTTTAAAGGAGTGCCCTTTGCTGTGCTGATGTTGCTACATGCCTTACTTCTTGCCTATCTCACACTGCGAATTTTTTTAAGCTCTATACTAAACATTAAATCTGTTACGAAAAAAGAACTAAATAAAATGAAAACAAAACGATCAGCTTTAAAAAAAGGACTGGAAAAACCGAATGAAAAAAGAATGTTAACAAAAAATACTTTTTTCACACCCAACCCAGTTCTGCGGAATCAGAATCAACGTTGAGTTTAAGCAAGCGAATGAGCCAATTGGAGTAAAGTGCTATGCAGATTTAAATTTTTCCAACTTGTGACGAATGCAGCTATCGAATTTTTTTTTGCATGCTAGTTAACATTCGTGTCAGTCAGCTGTTGGCTCTCACGCTGGCCAATAGAATCTTCCTGCCTATTCGTGGCAGCGAGCTATAGGCTCTCACTCTGGCCAGTACAAAATGGCCGCAAACTACATGAAAACTACCGTAGAAGTATGAAAAAATCGATTATTTCCACTATCGATGAGAGTTGGGAAATGCAAAGTCGGTTTTGGCCTTTACTCTACCCTGGAGCATGTGCATGTTTATTTTGGTGCAAATCAGTCGAAAATTGCGGCCGTGCATTCCTTACACACACACACACACACACACACACACACACACACACACACACACACACACACACACACACACACACACACACACATCCTGTCTTTTATAGATAGGGATTTTTTTTTTAAATAGAATCCCTCAATTTTTTAAAAAGGGTATCAATTATTTTTTTTTTAAATAGATTCAATTAATTTTTTTAAATAGAATTAATTAATTAAAAAAATAGAATCCATTAATTTTAAAAAGTAGAATCCATTAATTAAAAAAATGGAATCCATTATTTTTTTTAAAAAAATAGAATCAATTTCTGAAAAAAAAAAAATAGAATCAATTAATTTAAAAAAAAAAAGAATCCATTAATTTTTTTTTTTTTAGGAATTACTTTGTTTACCTTTCGGATATGTGTTCCGAGAGAAGTCTGAAAGGGTGGTTGCGATTTAATGTCAAAATAGTACTTTGCTTTATTGTAAATCTCTTTATGGTCGAGCAGTAAAAGACACGTGCTTATTCTATTCTTTAAAAAAAAAAACTGTGTCCAGATATATTCGAAGAATTTATTAAATTATTTCCCTCAAATAAAATAACTCTCCCAATATAAGGATTTAGGAACAGAATTTGCAATAATCTGATATGACTATTAATATTATTGAAATTTTATGATAGTTTCAAACACCAGAAATAATTTTAAGTGTGTCGCTGACAAGTCTCACAAACTCAGATACAAAACACTCTACGCAGGATATTTGCTTTGCGTATACTATGCCGTGTAGCCCCCTCATGCTGGGAGTTTCTTGGTCATTGTGCCAATTAATACACATGCTTTATCTTCTCTCTCTTCTCTCTCTTCTCTCGGCCGTGTGATCGTTAGTTGCTTTTTGGTTCGGAGATAAAAAAAAAAAAAAAAAAAAAAGCAATTCAACAAAGGGGTTTTTAAACTTATCTATTTTATTAAACACGTCGACATATACATTTCAAACTATTCAGTGGGGGTCGATCTCTCATTCCACTGGGAAGCCGCTTCCCAGATACGAAGAAACACGTCTACATTGCTTGACGTCTAGAAAACCACGCCCCGCAAAAACATTCTCTATTATTCCCACGCTGGTTCAGCCAATGAAAATCGACTTCCTTTGTTTTGTCCTGTATTTGACCTCTAAGGTCAAACTGGGGAAGTCAGAGCAGAATACACTTCTCTCAAAGATAATAATCTGCTAAACTATTATTTAACATATATTTTTTGAAACGTTGTCATGCTTTATCCGATTCAAATGATAATTTTTATTATTGTCGTGGTTTTTATGTTTGTTGCGTTGTTCCACATGTCTCAACCAAATAATTTAAGAGGCAACAACATGTTTTTTTTTCTTTTGGTTATCAGAAGTAGAATAGACAAAATTCCAGTGGTTTTCTTTAAGAATATCACCCCGGAATTATCCCCGATTCTAGTAAAGTTATTCAACCGTTGCTTGAAGGAGAAATCCTTCTCAATGCACTGGAAGATGTCAAGGGTATGCCATCTTTTCAAGTACAGTCCCGTCCGTAGCCTCAGAATTACCAGGAAGCATTTTGACGCCTTAACCAATGTGAAGTTCGTTGAACCCCTAGAAAAGAACAACCTGTTCAGCGACGAGCAGTATGGGTTTCGTTCGGACTGATCCACTGCTGATGTCTTAACTATACCATAACTCACAGAATCAGTGAGGCTCTTGATGACACACATCCCCAGGGCAATAACATTAGATATCTCAAAGGCCTTCGACAAGAAGTGACACAAATGTTTACCACACAAGCTCTCCAGTTATGGAATTACTGGAAGGCTCTTCTGGATCATATAATCCTTCCTAACAGGTAGGCCTCTTTAGCGTCCCCCAGGGGTCACTCCTCGGACCAACCCTTTTTTGTTGTACATAAGAATATACTAGCTCTTTATCAGCTATGGTTCAAAGATATTGAAGATGTATTGCACCACATGGACAGCAACAGAGTTTATGGCTGATATTCTGTTTTGTGAATTCAATTCTGTATTCAACACCAGACGAACACTCCTGTGTTATTATTGCTTTCTACTTCATTTACGTATGCTATATTCCACCCCCTTCGATAATTCCTAGGTTTTTATAGGCGTCTTCTTGTTCCATGTCCCTAATCTTTGTAACAAATCTTGATCTATTGGGTGTGTTTCTGTAATTCGCTCTTTCTTGAATGTTACTTTTTTCATAATTATCTAATCTTAAATCCATACCACTGTCAACACTAAAACATTTTACAGTATTGAGGAGAACCTTCAACTGATTGTCGTCTTTGGCAAATAATTTGAGATCATCCATGTAGAGTTGGTGATTAAATACTTTCTTTTTTTACTTTGAATCCATAGCTATTATTGTTTAGATCATACTAAACTTGGATTAAGGACAGACAAAAGAGACGCTGTGACAGATTCTTAAAAGATTCCTCGGCGGTTATTTGGGGGGTTCAAATTGGCAGCGCCGTTGGAGTGATTTTAGGAATAATTCAATATTCAACAGTCCCATGCTATATTCCAGGAATTTTATTATCCCCGAGGAGGCTTAGTACATTTGCAAACCCTTAAGGATCCAAAAGTGTGGTACATTATCAAAGGCTTTACGGTGATCTATCCCTTATCTGCTGAGATTTCTACCTCTTTTCCTGTAATTTTCCAAGATCATTTTGTTTATGTTGTAGAGTAATTTTCACAGTTGAGGCTTGTTTTTCACTCAGTCGGTCCTAAATTAGGTTCGACGTACAAAACGTTAGGAACTTGAAATAATAGTTAATGACACAGCAATCTTGTTGTGGGGCTCATACTTTAATGTCCGACATCGACTGACTCACACAACTCACTCAGCTCCCCTGGCGACTGCTACTACTACTACTTATCTGTGGGAGAGTCTATTTACAATAGAAATAGGTACGTTCCGGTATAACAGTTTATCAATAGATAATCTTTGCATCCATATGAACCTCTCCGACACCCCTTATGTTCCAAGGGAAGAATGCCGTTTTCATCGAGAAAAGAATTACAGTTTATCAGGACAGACGTGATCAATTTATGTGGTGATAGACATGTTGATTGGCATAAAATTTTTCGGATCCTCTGTATCTGATGGAGAATATACAGGTTGTCCATAAATCTTACAATTTAAAAGTTTTATTACAAACGCAAAATGAACAGACAGATATGCGGAAATTGTTACAAAATGAGTAGATACTGAAATTTTAAACTAATTTAATACACCACTATACGAACAGCTTTAGTTACACGGAGTACATCAAGACTCTACTTGATTTCTTGCTATGTTCGCTGTAGCAGAGCCGCATCAATGGTGGCAATGACATCAGTGATCTTTTGCTTTAGATCAGTGATGTTCCAGATACACGATATCCTTAATATAACTCCAGGGAAAGAAGTCCAGAGAAGTGATATCTGGTGAACAACTGGCCAGGGGATTGGACCATCCCTCACAATCCATCTGTCTGGAAATGTTAGGGGTTTATTTAACAGTACCTCTTTCATCAAATGGATACCTGAAATACACATGCAATTTGATTAAAAACTATGATAACTAGTGAGAACTTCGAACAAATCTTATTAAGATATCTCATCAATTGCTTTTGTATTAGGTTGGTGCAAAAATAATGACGTAATAATGTCGTTCTTTGACGTATTTTCTAACGTCAAAAAACGACATTATTACGTCATTATTTTTGCACCAACCTAATATCATAGTTTGAAGTTATAAAGAGATTTCAATAGGCACCTTCAGTGATCCATTCTGAGACTTCATTGGGGTTATTAATTAGCAGTGATAACGTTTGTGTAAGGGTTTTATGTATTGATGACATGATAGAACCAAAAATTGAGTACCTTGTCATTTGCTGAGGATTTCCATTTTTGGTGATTCCGTTAGAGCTTGCCTAACATTATTCTTGGTTATATTCATACATTCTTGTAGAAGTTTATTCTTCATTCTTTCTTCTTCGGTATTCCGGATTATTTTCTTTTTGGGATGCTCCAAATATTCTCCCAAAATATTTGCAGTTCTTTTATAGATGATGGCTTTTTGACTTCGATAATTGCTTTTCCAATATCCCTGAAAAACTTGCTGAGGTCCGGTTGGAATATCTTATTTTGTCGATAGAACCTACAACGCTTTTCATATCGTTCTGTTTTCTGTGCCTGTAATTGCAGTTTCTGGTTAAGCGTTTACTTGATGGGTGGAATTTCATTTAGTAATTTAATTTTATATTTCCGCTTGATCTTCCTGCATTTGAGTATTGAAACATCTGGGCTTTTTCAGATCTCATCTAGTATGGATAATTCACAACCAATTTCCTCAAGTTTCCGCTTTAATTTTGCTTCCCAAACTGGCTCTTTTGTCTGTTTGATCTCTTCTTTGTCTTGACATTAATTTTTTTCAGTAGCTGCTAAATCAGTTGTATATAGGACATTATTTACTTCAACGATATTTCCCAGTGATTTTACCGTTAACAATGTTCGAAGTGTAGCGTTTTATGTTTGCACGGTATGCTTATTGGACTTTGTCATATGAATTTTGGGGAGCTGGTTTCTGTCTGACATTTGTGTGTGAGTAACTCAGCCGGGTATTTGAATGATGTAGTTTTTCGCTACAGTGATTTCACATCTGCTGTTTTCAAGGAATTCTGACCGTAATGTCGTTTGATTCATTTCAGTGACATAGTCTGAATAACTTTAGTTGTTTATATCGCAGCTAGATTCTTCCGTTTTCTTTCCCGAGAGATAGTTATTTCGTATCTCATTTATTTTAGTTTGTATCTAATTCTCTGGGATATTATCTATTTCCATTCTTGCTTCATTTTGCTTGGGTTATGGCTGATGTTCATTTGTTGTTTTTTTTTTCAAATGCGGTGAAAAAAGATGCCATGACTTGTTGATACACTTCCTGATTTCATTTCGTTCACTTTCTTTTTATTAAATGATTTGGCATGAGACACATGATCTAGGGTTGGAGTTAGTCCGGGTTTTTGACTAAGTGTCTTATAGGTGTTGGTAGATTTTGTTCCAGTGAGAGATTGTTCAGCCACAGACTGGTTCCTCTCTGGGGGACGCGGCCCTTGTTGACCCGGATGCCGACCGACCCGGTATGAGTATTTGTTTGTAAGCATTTACATTATTATCCATGACCACCTAGAGGTAACTTTCTTCAAGGTATCAGCTTTAGGACAACTGTCAACCAAGACTAAATAGCTCACCCTGCCCATGAAACAGGGGAGTTACATTCAGATGTCTGGGGTTCGAGTGTTCTTCATCTATTACCTGCACTCAGGGAGGTAACCTTAGGGATATGGAAATGGTATCGACTATAATAAGTTTTAACTTAGTATACGTCTCAGTAGCCATTACCACATGAAAGGTCAGCGGTGGATTTACATTGAAGGTTATCATATTTAAAAATAAAAAATAAAAGGATAATCAAATAAATGAGGGTAAAATTAAAATAAAATAAAAATTAAGATGAAATAAAATAAAGTCAAATAAACTTAAATAAAATAAAATTCAAAAGAAAAGAAAGCTGAAATTTCAAATTAACTGTCTAAAAGTTCACACCATTTACATACAGGGTGCACTGGATAAATTGTCGTCTAAATTACGCAAAAATGAAAATAACACTGACATCTAATTTTAAAAGATATATTTACCAAAATTACACAAAAATATCTTGAAATAGTAAAGAGTAAATTTATTCAATAAAATCGCCATTGGTTTCTGAGATGTTGTGAGTTTCCCGCGTGTCGGTGTATGAATCAAGACAAACACAGTTGTAGATGAAAATACTGGTATATTCATAAAAGCAATTAACAATAGAGTGATTAATAGAACGAAGGTTGGTTAGTACGAAACAATATCCAAAGTCTATAGTCCAACGGTATGTAACGGGTAAGCTTATCTGGACTGCTCACGCTGACTCTCTCTCTCTCTGACGCTCCGTCACTCTCTCTCCAGAGCTGACTTATATAAGAGGGACCAGTCCATTACTAGTTAGAAGGTGGGTGCGCCCCAACAGTTTCAAACACGGCCTCCATACGACTTCGGGATCTCCTTAATCTCTTTTGGACAGTCTCTGTTTAAGTTGGTGAATGCTGCCATAATCATTGTCTTCAGATAATCTTTGCGTCTCACACATAATAATCAAGGGGGTTGCAGTCTGTGGAGTTAGGTGACCAGTAGTAAGGCGTGCTGTTCTCGCAGAAATTGTCTGACAGCCATGACTAGGTTCTCCTTTTTATGTGGCATGGTGCAGATTCCTGTTGCCAGACATAGGGTCTTCCAGCAGCTATCCTCTTGACCTAGGTGAGTACTACCTCGTCAAGGCACTTGGTGTAGACTCCGTGTTGAGTCTGAGGCTGTGTGGGGAAATGAATTGAGGCATAACGTCGCCATCACCATCCAACTCTTTTCGAATCTTCTGAACTGTCCTCAGATTGACAACCAAACACTTTGAAACGTTCGTATTGGAGCCCCCGCCATGAATGCCAAGCAGTACAGCATGCCTGCTTCCAAAACCTGGCGGAGTGACTTCTCCGACCAAAACTAGGTACATGTTAATTATGCCGACGCTAATACGAGTCAACCTTTATTATTATTATTATTATTATTATTATTATTATTATTATTATTATTATTATTGTCAATGGTGTTGTTGGTTTGTTTGTTTTTTGGGGGTTTTTTTCTTAGCTAGATGTAGATACGCTCGACTCAACGATTACTGTGAGTTTGTGCCTTGATAACAGCTCCGTGAATTTGTACCTGTAGTTTACATTTATGAAATGCATCAAAATTATCTGGAGAAAAAAAAGATCCAACCAGAGTGTAATTTATTCAAATAAAATTTAACTGTTACCTTGGGAAACAGACTTTCGAGAGAATGATTCCCCAGCACTACGATCTTAACCACTTCATATCTAGAATCAACAATTATCTATCCTATATATATATCCTTATAATTCCTCCTTTTATACCTTTGCAACAACATATCTACCTTGAGTGGCTCTAAGGTCTTGTATTAGTCGAACAATATTAAATATAAAAATCCCCAATGTCTGCATCATGGATTTTCGGAAAAAGTAGAATAGTTGTTTTTTAAATACATTCACCATAAGCAAGGCGATAATGTCACTAAGACGCAAGGGGGCTGCTGGAAATGAAAGAAAGAAGACTTTAGAAGCAACCGGGAAACCAATCCTAACCAAGAAGCAAGGGATAAACTTCTACTTCTGTTTTAAAGACCGAAGAGAAGTGTGAACCGGGCGATAGGCGAACCTATCTACTCTTGTTAAAATAAAATAAATCTAAACAGCTGACTCCTTAAAAAAAATATTGCTGTAATGTATTCCTTGTTCCTACAGAAGAGCCAGTTGTCAGGTTTTGTTTCAAAAAAAGATGCAACCAAAGTATATTTGTAAAATTAACAATGACATTGTTGCTCCTGCTTTTGTTTGGTTCAGCGTACGACTGCAGCTACCGTTGCAATCAGCTTTCGTTACTGCTGCTACTGCTTCTCCTACCTGCCTTGAGAGAGCGTCTTTCCCCCTCCACACCTGTCTTTTTGAATACCATCACTTGTAACACACACAACACACGCACACACACATACATAGACTTGCAGATGGAGACGCACATAGAGTCAAAGAAAGAAAGAAAGAAAAGGGGAAAAGCGAAAGAAAGCAAGAGAAAGACAGAAGGTAAGAAAAACAGAAATAATGCAGCGAGGAGATCACATAGAATGAGAGAGAGAGAGAAAGAGAGAGAGAGAGAGAGAGAGAGAGAGAGAAAGGTAGAGAGAGCTGTACTGTTTCCATCTTCCAGGTTACACCCGCCAACATTAACGTCTTCGACTCTCTCCGACGAGAGAAACGTTACAAGATAATAGAGGAAGGACGTTGTCGCAGGAGGAGGGGGTTGTGGCTAGATCGACGCTTTCGTAAAAAAACAGGACACCCAGTGGCGAAATTTGTTGTCTGACATCTCCTTACCTACATACACACGCACACAGACACACACATAGATATATCTATCTATATATTTATATATATCTATATATATATATAT